CTTATACTGGACCTGTGTGTGATTAAACACATTCATTCAAAACTTGTCGAACTGTACTACTGTGTTTTCCTGACTCTGTCGTAAGTATTCCTTCGATTTTTCATATTACTACTACAACACGATCAGTACTCTATTCCCAAGCAAACTGTAGTTTTTATAAGCTAACATTCTAACCCACACATCGAGTGTCTGAAATCAGAATTAACGAAAGTTCGGATATCGGTGGGCTGACGACAGTCGGCGTCGTCGGTGACTTTCACTGTGAGGATCGACTCGAAAGCCGATCGCCAGTTGCCTTCATTATTTTAAAATATACATTTTAAACACAATTTCTCAAAATTTTGACACCAGTTACTACTTGTTGCCGTAACGTCGTCGTGTAGGAACCATAAACGAATTTGACGACGTGGTCACATCTTGCAAGATCATGAGATGCCAGCACCTCGAAGTTTATTTTTGTTTACATGACCTTTGGCCTGCCGTAAATACGAATGTCAAGACTGAGCGAGTAACTCGCGGACCCGGGGGGGGGGGGGGCTACTTCCACATTAAGTGGGTAAGGGTGTGAAGCCCACCTCTCGAAAACCATACTCACTTCTAAACCATTTTTTTTCTATTTATATACCCACTTCTAAACACAAGTGTTTTCAGCGAAAAAAAAAACACCCAGCTCACAACTTTCGCAACCAGTGCAATGCATTTTATTCAGCCTTTTCCAGTATTTGGCTTTGAATATAAGGATCTGTGAAAAAGTAAATAAATGCTACACATTTCTAAACCAAACCATTGATAAATGGCTACCCACTTCTAAACAAAATAACGTGAAATGACACCCCAGTCGGGCGGCACATACCCGTATTGCACTTCTATGGAAGTAGCCCCCCCGGGCTCGCGGACATCTAACATTTTTGTTAGATTAAATGAACCACATATGCTCCCAATGACGCCAAATTAAAAAGTTGAAAAACAAGACGTACTACATTGTAGTACATTTATGCACATTTGATTTGAAGGTCGTTCATACACATGCAAACCTAGTATAAACTCAAATAGGAGACAAAACCTCATTTTTGTGTTT